TTGACGATTGTTGACATAGAATTTATCGGGGACATACGATTGATATATTATACTATTCTAGATTCACAAAGTATATTATACACTACATATTTAGTTTTAGTGCATAAGTAATAAATTTATGGTTAAGTTCTAAAGTGCTTATCGGAGTGGCTACTTCATTATTTATCATGACCATGTTTACCGAATTGTTAAACGGTGCATATTTTACAAAATATTTTTTATTATAGAAGTTTTCTAAAAATACAAATAAATCCATTTTCAAGCTTTTAATATTTAATACTTGATTAATCTTGTGCTAATGACTTGTGACTTTTCGTGTGCCCTGGATATGCTAAGTCAATGAGCTAGATCGAACGAAGGCTAAGTAGGAGAAAAAAGATATTGACGTGGTGTGAAATGAATATATTTGATGTTCAATTTTCTAATAATATATGAATAGAGTAAACACATAATACATAAAAAATATTTCTGATAAATTTATAACATCATTTTTCCATATCAGTATTTTTTACAAGAGAGAGTGAGTAATTTTTGAAATTCTACACACACTTGAAGTTGTTTTTATTTTGGAAAATGTAAGTCTAATTTAACTATCACATAATCTATACTTTCAATTTATTTATATTTTTTATGGGTGTTTTGATGACATGCACCTAATTTGAATACAACTCGAAATAGCATATATTTTTACAACTCAAAGCATAGTTGATATTAGTTTAAATTATTAGTTTAGTTTTCCATCTAATCCAAATGATGAGAAGAAAAAAAAATAAGGATGTGGGACGCGGTGTGTATACGCACTGTTCATAGAAATAGTTGTGTACATACTCTACGTAGGTACGTACTTTTCTTAAGAAGGAATACCTACATACCTACATGCATGTATTTTTGCCGGTCGTGCCAATACGACATGGGCCTTTTTACAAATAAATTTATTTTGTAGTTTTAAGATAGATCTAATAGTTGAAAATAATGGGTCCACCAAATTAAATGAAAACCGATTGGTCGGGATTTTTTCTTATTTTATACAATTTTTATGATTTATTAGAGTGCCACATGGTGGTCTATGAGCATTTATAGGGTACTATGTCCGGATTAGAAGCGTTTGTAGGAAGTTTATCCTCTTGATTACATTTTCTCCCTTTTTCTCTTTATGAAAATATTTGCAACAATAATTTTTAAATAACCAGAACCTTCTGAATTATATATTTATTTGTAAAAATATATTTTAACTCATTATAATTTTTAACTTTTAAATCATACCTTCATTTTTTTATCTATTTGGACCATTGTGTTATTTATGATAAAAAAACAATTAGAATTCATACGTAAGTTATCTACTTCACTCATAAAATGTATATTCTTCCATGTTCTATTTACTATCCTATGCATGTATATTCTTCCATGTTCCATTTACTATCCTATGCATGTCATTCAAACGTATATGAAAAATTATAAAAGAAAAGTGACTATATATTATTTCTTCCGGTACCATTTCACTTGCATGTATAAATAAAGTCAGTCACTGTATATATTGTTAGATCAACTTTTTAAAGAATGCCCGCGTAGCTGAAAACATATATTTTCAAATCATATATTTTTTATTGTACGTTTTTTTACCATATTTGTGAAGTAATAAGTTTTGTTTTTCTACTATAGAAAATACTATTTTAAAAAACCATCTGTTTTTTTGTCTACGCATAAGTACATTTTTTTCTTGGTTTTGTCTTCGCATATGTACGTTCGTTTTTTTTTAAATAAACAGTACCTAAAGTTTCTGTTTTTTTTCAATTGTGTGTACGTACGTAGATTTTTCGGTATAAGCGGTTTCACTCGTATGGACATGATTTTCCGGTATATACGGCTTCAATGTACAATGTAGAACTTTTTTTTGGCTTTATAGCTGCACTTATGTTTGTTTGTTTTTTTTAAGCGAGCAGTACGTATGGGTTTATATCCGATCGGAATATACTTTAATTTTTCTCGTAAAACTTTCTCATGTATAAAGCTTATATGTTATGGGTGTAGCAATAACTTTTCAAGTAGATCTAATCTAATGGTGTAAAATAATGGGCCCATCAATTTAAGTGAAACTCAACAGTTAGATTGAAAATTGCCATGTGGCGATTTAGGAGCGTTTGTAGGAACGCCACATGGCAGCTTAGGAGCGTTTGTAGGGAGATTAATGGACTTTTAGTATATAATAGATAGATAGATAGATAGATAATAGATAGATGTCTCCCCGCAAAAAAAAACACAATAATGTTTGCCTACCTAACATTTCATCTCATATACCCCGGCCATTAACTTTCAATTTCTAATCTTGTTTTGAATCCAATTACCTGCTACCAAATAGAGATAGTATTTAAGACATGGACAGTTGTTCGTTGCTGTTCTATCATCTGAAAGATGAATGTATTTGTGCCGCATTAGTATTCTGCTTCTCTTATGTCCACGTTCCCTTTTTTCAGTGTGATGAATTTATTAGCAGAGAATTCTTACTCAGGGATGGTTCCAAAGATGCCATTGGTCAAAGCAAATAATTTGATCCAAATAGAAAGCCAATAATCTGATCCAAAGAGAGAACTCTGGCTGCGGACAAATTAAGGTCTAATGAGAAAGTATAACATGTCAGTCGTACGTTCTGCTATTAACAAACTGCTCTGGAGGCTAAAAGTGCCACTTAAGGTCAAGATATTTCTTCTGTATCACTGTATGTGCGACCTGGAGTTGTCCTAACAAAACTGGCAAGGTAGTAAGAAATATTGTTTTTTTTCATAAAAAATGAAACAGTTAAACATCTATTATGGATTTATAGTCTCTGATTGTCGTTTTTCTCACTCGGTTTGGTCTATTATCCATATCGCGTCAAACATTCCACCCCCTTAAAATAACTAATCATTCTGGATACCAATTATTTGAGGTGGTTATAATTATCATTGAACGCTTATTATAGCCAAGAAACACAAACTCGTTCTAGTTGAATAAGTGAAGGAGAAATATAAAAACTTTTAGAAATGGAAAAAATATCTCAAAACATGTTAAGAAAGCATTTAATTTTAACATAATCATAAAATTTAAAGGTCTTTTTGGAAGGCATTGGGTTGCTCTGGCTGGAAGAGTGGGTCGAGCTAGGGCAAGTGACCAACTCTGCCGTCGCGTCGCGGGCGCTCCACCTTTGGCTCAAGGTACTACCAATAGGATTACAAAGGTATAAGCTTGTAGGGCCAATTCCCTACATGCCCATGTAATTTCACCCAATCACTTCTACGCCCCTGAAATTTGTTTGATCTCTTATATACCCCTGAGTTTTTATTTTGATCCCTTACATACCCATTCCATTAGTTGACCATTAGTTTGATAGTTAGTTATTGTAGAAATTACTTTATTGTCCTTGGTATATTTTTAAAAGCTAGAAATGTTTTGTGTAAATTATTTGAATTGTGAAAACCAATAAGAAATAAATTACTAAATATTTGTTATGAATTTTTAAAAATAAAACATTATTTCATTAAAATAAAAAAGATTTATTGTAAAAAAAGTTCTGCATAAAATTTGAAAATTACTTTTCAACAAATATTTAGTGAAAAAAGATTCGTTGTGAAAAAATAAAGGGATGTAACTAGTTTATCACAAATTAGAAAACAAATTTAAAATTTTTAAATAAGTTTTAGATCAAATTTGATGAATTTCATATATCTTCCCAAAAATTTAAACCTAAATAACATTTAGTTTTTGCTCTTAATTTTCCGGTGAAACTAATGTATGGATTTAATAATAATTTTTAAAAAATAAAAAAATAGTAAGTTTTATTTTTTAAGTTGGGAATTAAATGATTATATTGCCTGTATTTTGTATAAGTTAATTTTTTCATATGAAAATTTATTGGGTAGGTACCACATATGTATAGGATGGGTAATATAGTCATTTTAAAATATTTAACGGTCAACTAATGGTCAACTAACGGAGATGGGTATAGAGGAGATCAAAATGAAAACTCAGGGGTATATAAGGGATGATGTCAAATTCAGGGGTATTGAAGGGATTGAGTAAATTTTCAGGGGTATATAAGGAATTTTCTCAAGCTTGTAACAACCCTTCCTCTAAAACCACCACTATAACAAAAACCTTATATAGAGGCTCTTTTGTAGAGACAATTTTCAAAATGCCTCTAAGTTTTGAAGCTCTATAGTTTAGAGACACTTTCAAAATCGCCTAAAATATTTTTACTCTAGACACACTTTAGAGACATTTTTATCATACTTTGTTAAATTTATCTTGTAGAGACATCTTTTCGGCACTTAAAAACTTGCCTCAAATGTAAAGGCATTTAAAATGATGTAAAGACATTTTTCCAAATATTAATATACATCAAGTAATTAGATATAAGTAACACAAATTACATATTTACATGCAATTATATGAGGTTGAGATGGTTAGTGCATTGAAGATAAAGATGGTCAACTCAAGATGTCATGAGTTCAAGGATTGCTAAGGGATAAATAAAGATGGTCAACTCAAGAGGTCATGAGTTCAAGGATTGGTAAGGAATAATTTATTTTTTGTTTTTTTTTCATAGTGATTTGCTATAGTTGCCGCAACATATTAATGCCTCTACAAAGTGCCCCTATTTGCATAGAGACATATTATAAAATGCCTCTTAGTTTGTAGAGACAATGCACCAAAAGGCACTTACGAGACACTCTTCAAAATGTCTCTATAACACTGTAAAGGCATTTTAAAAATATCTCTATAGTATTAGGAGAATGTCTCTCCAAAGTATATTTGATGTAGTGTGCGTAACCAGTCTATCCGACTGATGGACCCACTTACATATATCACCCCACTTACACTTTCGTTTCTCGCTTCGTGTAAAAGGGTTAACTCAGGAATGATATGATTGGAGGGACAAGCACTTATAAGTTGGTCCCACTCTTACTAAACTAGCATTGTGTTATTAAACATGTGCACACAGCTCTCATGGGTCATACATGCTAAATTCTAATTAGGCCAGGATGTCACCCCTCCTCAAAGGACCTGACGTCTCCGTCGATCCAACTTACGCACATAGCCACACATGCATATAGGCAAATGTCTAGGAACACACTCCTTCTTAGTACACATCCGTGTGTTTAGTGCCATCGCCATATGCCATGCCATGTGCCTCACACAAAGTTCACATGTGCCATGCTCCCTCCCTCCAAAACCATGTAGCCAACCCATCCTACGGACAGGCCCACTTACACATATCATCCCACTAATACTTTCATCCTCGCTTCGTATAAAAGGTTTTGCCCGTGAGTGATAAGGTTGGAGGGACAAACACTTATAAGTTGGTTCCACTATTACTAAACTAGCTCTCAATGTGTTACTAAACATGCACACACAACTCTCATGGGTCACACAGGCCAAATTCTAATTGGACCAGGATATTACAAAGCTTAAACTATGGAGGCAGCGCTTTTAGGGATATATACTTTGCAGAAGAATGGAAAGTTGATATTAGTGCAAATCGTGTTGTGATATTCTTAACTAAGTCAAAACAATGTTAATATATTCTTAGCTGTAGGTCAAAACAATCTTAACCATAGAAGTAGAGAATTACATGAGTCAAGTGGCTATGGGCATTTCGAAGAATTAGTGCAAACCTTAGCTGCCGCCCTAAAAGAATATTCTGTGACTCCAGCGGTATGTGGTGTTATAATAACATTTGAGAACTTCAGAATTGGATCCTCTGGATCATATGGTTCTGTCCAAGCAACATCAATGCCTAACCCACCTAAATGGCCCGATTTCAGGTGATCAAACACAGCATCGTAGTCCAGTATGTGTCCTCTTGCAATATTGACCAGATATGATCCCTACAATAATATAACATTATCTTTTTGATCGAATATATTATAACATTATTATCCAACATCGTCGTAGTATACTGTTGCAGATTATCTTGTAAGAACAATATATATATGATAGAGCAAATTTACGCTAGAATAAATTATAGAACAATAACACTACTTTTGTAGGATCAATTACTCATTATGGAGAACGAGATAAAACCTAAAAGTATTGTTACATGCACAAAAATGACATGAACAAAATGCATACACCTTTTTCATTGTGGAGAGGAACTTATGGTCCACAATCCCAACCTATAAATTTCATTATTTAGTAATGAAATTGAAGTAGAGGCTTTCTAACAGAAATAAAGAAATACACCAATAGAAGAACTAACTGTTTCGTTTGACAATAGCAAGCATGTTATAACTATGTCAGCTTCTCCAGTAAATTCATACATATCTTCTGGTCCACCTTTCTTATCGACCAATTCATCTATATCTGCGCAGGCAATACGTTGGAAGAGGAGGAAAATAAGAAAAAAAACTGGGAAAAGTAACTCAAATACTGCAGCTCACCACATGGCAATGTTTCAGCTGACCAATTTCGTTTGGTGGCAAGAATTTTTACTCCAAACGGTCTTATCCTCTTGGCAATTTCTACTCCAATAGCTCCAAATCCCAAGATAAGGACCTTTATAGTACAATAAATACAAATTACAATACAAATGAAATGCTCTCCATGTAAAGTGAAAGAAACAAGTAACTCATACACAAAAGGCATACTCTTTTTCCAAATATTGTATCTCCAACTGGACTGCCCAGGTCCTTACGTTTCACAGCAGTATCCATCATCTTCTGCTTTGTATAACACATCCAAAATATGTGCAGCTCATTAAAAATGACAGCCATAGATTATATATATACAACTAAAACAAGCAAGTTAGCTGCCAAATGGTTAAAGATAGGAAGGTGACCTATATCATAAAGAACAAAATAAATGTCCTGCATACATACGAACTGATAAACAAGAAAGCAAGGTTTAAAAGAGTCATCGTTGGTGTACGATGGATGCCACTGGATCGTCCATCGTTCATAAAGAAATCAAGATATATAGATAACCATGCTTCCTAGTTTGAGATGTCTAAATATTGTGTTTGTACAAACTAGTACACATGCTTTAGAAAAAAGATAAAACATAAAGATCACTTCCAAATGGTCAAAAGTTGATCTATTTATTAAAACATACTTGCTTCCGTAGGATACCCAGAGTAAGATAGATAGCCATTTCTGCACAAGACACCGCATTTCCTGTTGTACTGCCATTTATCCGTGCAACTTTAATTTTGTGTTCTGTAGCAGCATTTACATCGACACCTGCAAACCATTGTATGCTCAGTATAAGAGTAGCTAGTTATGCCACTACATTTTCAAAATGGCAAGATAAACCTAGACTCATAATCACCTTCTATTCCAACACCATATTGCATAATGACCTTCATCTGACTTGCCTTGGCAATGATATCTGAGTCTATAAGTCGATTTTTCACTATACATAAGTGGTAATTTTGAATAACATCAGGTACCTCCTCTAGACCTACTTCATCAACCTGAAAAGTGCATTCCAATGTGATGAGATATAAACCCATAGATGCACATTGTCACATGCATGTGACTTCGATTGAGTTCATATGCCTAAGAAAATATGTACAAACTAATTGTCATCAAACAACTTAGCATATCAGTATCTAAATTTTGTTCACAATAATTCAAATGGAAGTTGTAACACGAACCTGCTAATTGAGTGAACAACATATATACCAGAATTTTGAGTAATATATTGAGCTCGTACAAATTTATTGGATAAGTAAAAAACATGTCTTTGTAGATACACTGCACAATAGACAAAAGTTTTGGTACTAAGAATGTCAAAAACTGGAGATTTTGAATGTTGTAATGGTAAGGAAAAAAGTTGGAATTTTAGAGCCCCAATAATTATTTCATCAGTTTGCTTCCGCAGTTGAATGTAATCATCCGCATGTAAATTATAAAAGTGGAGCTGAACAGTACTAAAAAAATGTTTTCTTCCAGCCGATTGAAACAGAATTTCGTATGCGGTTGGCCGTCTCGTCTGCACCCAGGCCAGGTGTCTACAAAAATCACCATTTTTCCATGCAGATAGCGCAACCGCATGTGAAAACGGGATTTTTGCATGCAGTCACATATGCTGACCGCACGTGAAAATAGTTTCAGCGAAAAAATGGCCCGAAACGCGAGCATCTTGATTCTCCCGAAGCCCTAGCCATTACCGCTGTCGTCGCTAGAGCAGCCGCCACCGCCGCCGTCGTTGCCGTCACTGTCACCACCGTTGTGTCAACGTTGCAACCGCCACCGTCACCATCATCGCCTCACCACCGCCGATCCGTTGCTCCTGAGGGCGGGGGTAGCGGATCCACCAGCCGGCCAACCGCCCCCGCCGACTGAGCCTGCCATTACCGTTCTCGCGGAAGGGGGCGGCAGATCCGCCCACCGGCCACCTGCCCCCACCACCTGATCCTGTTGCCACGGCTCCTGAGGGCAAAGGTGGCGGATCCACGTTTTCGCTGTCGCTCCCAATGGTGGAGGCAGCGGATCCGTCTACCGGTTTGACCAACGTAGGAGATCTTTGATGATTGGTGGAGTCGGGCTAATAGTTTAGTGCAATGGGTCATCAGGAAAGGCTTAAATAGTCTGATCATTCTTGAGATAAGGGGCTACCGCTGATTTTGATCCTAGCTAAGGCTGAATTTGAAAGTGATTTTGGAGTGGGATTTTCCGTGGCTCTCGAAACGAGATAAGCTGTAAGCAAGTGATTAATGGAGTACTAATTATTATAAATTTAGCAAATATGTTAATTTGATTTTTGAAAAAAAAAACTTCTATGTAAAAAGATTTTGTAAAATCCGCACCATTTATCAGTTTGAGAAGCATGCTAAGGAAAATGGAAATGGAGTAAGTTGCTACACCCCTAACTCGCTACCAGTGGGGCTAAGAAGGCTTAAGAGTTAGGATGTTGTGAGGATCTTGATGGAGTGACTTGTTTGCTATCTTTTGTTCTGTTTTGTATGCTTTGTTCAATTGTTGTTTCTTCGTAATTGCATCTCGGACGTCTCTCTTCTTCTATTAATTAGGTGAAAACCCGCGCGTTGCCGTGGGAGTTTTAGTGTGACAGCAATAAGTAGAAATAATGTATAAGATAGTTAGAAGATATAAGCTTACATAAGTTGATATGGTTTATGGTAATTTAAATAGTATATAGAATGATGATCCAAATGTAAAAGTAAGGTGATGTGTTTTTATAAGAGAAGAAGATGAGGAAGATAATTTGGACCATAGATGAATTATCTAAGGGCAAAAAACAATTGAGGTGGTATGGCTTAACGAGAGAAGAAAGCGAGAAAGATAATTTGGACCTAGATTAATCATCTATGAGCTAAAAACAATTGATGTGATATAACATTAATTAAGTGAGGATGAACTATATCGGTATATAGCATATTATAAAAAATGGTGGAAATATATATTTAAATATTATTTGAATTACGTAGGATGATGATTGACCATGCTTGCATTTTAAAACTCTAAAATCTATCTATCTATCTATTATATACTAAAAGTCCATTAAACTTCCTACAAACGCTCTTAAGCCGCCACGTGGCACTCCTACAAACACTCTAAAGCCACCACGTGGCACTATCTAATCTCACCGTCGATTTTCACTTAAATTGGTAGACCCGTTATTTTTCACCATTAGATTAGATCTATTATTAAAAAGTAATAACTTCCTCATATATTATATAACATAGAAACGGTACTGTTCAGCCATAGAGTTTATATACGATACAGAACGTTACGTACGTATTGAAAATAAAACAATAAAACTTTCCCAATGTTACGGTATTTATTTAAAATATGATTTTCTACAGTATAAAGATAAAATATATTTACTTCACAAATATAAATATATTTAGTCAAATTAAGATCTATTATAAATATCCAATCAATGTTCTTTAAAACATCTTATAAATCTATCTATTATCTATCAACTATATATATACTAAAAGTACGTTAAACATACGACGAATGCTCCTACACTGCTACGTGTCTCTCTAATAAATTAGAGAAATTCTAGAAATTTATTTATATACTAAAAGTGCATTAAACATCCTGCAAAAACTATTACGCCGTCACGCCGTGCTATAATAAATTAGAGAAATCTTAGAAATTCAGAGAAAAAAAAAAGCATATGATCCTTTAATTTTTACTTAAATTGGAGGACCCGTTATTTTAAATATTAGTTTAGATATATTTAAAATCCCATGCTGCTAATCTCTATCTGGAAAAAAAAACATAATGTGCGTACGTCGTACGATCGTCTCCATCCTAAAAAAATAAAACTTAAATACCTACACCATATACGATAAATAAAACAGATAAAACCAAATAAATAAAAGAAAACATGCAAACGTACAAAGAATCGGAAAGAAATACTAATCGTGAAAATTCACACTGATGTGTTGTCAACATCCTTTAAACTATTATTTTATTAAAAATAACACTACACAGATATGCACATTAAACTTAATCTCTAATAGATAAAATGTCAAAGCAACTGTCTGACAAAACCTAACATTGTGTTTTAAGTACATCTGTTTTGGGTTATTTAATTTTGGAGATCAGATTCTCAAAATATTTGGATTTGTTCAAAACTTTTTTATTCTTATTTGATGAGTGAGAAGCACAAATAATAGATAGATGAGAAAAATTAAATTAAATTTTAGACAGTGGTTTTGCGATAATAAAACTACAATTTAGCTTTGGTTTTTAAGTGGATCATTTTATGTTTATTTTGGGTGACATTGAGATTTTAAGAATCTGAAATTTTTCAAATTTTTTTGATTGCTATTTGAGGAGAGAGAAGCATACATCATAGATAGATGTAAATAAACAAATAAACAAATAAGAATTAGGCAGTTATTTTGCTACAATACAATCCTTAATTCATCATGAGAATTATGATTATCCATGTATGTTTTTTCTTTGCCAAGTAGTATTGGCAAACATGAACAATCCGTAAAACACGTATAAAACTATAAATTCTATATACTGAGTATAATTGATGTACGAATGTTATACACCTCTGAACCCAATTTTGTCAATTCATTACCTTAAATCGACTCAAAACTTAAAAATAATACTGTTTTCGCCACCTCTTCCTTTCTGTATATATCTGTCCTTCAATGTTGGGTGTATTACTTGCTATGCCATCATAAATATTGTAGAGACATGTAAATGGTTGAGTTAAGTGGTGTCCTAAAAGGCCACCATAAACAATGTAACTAAAATAACATACTTACCAATGCAATCATTTGTGTGTGCCAATGGTGAATTGAGTGTTAAAATTGTACTTTAAGATGGTCTTTAGGGGCACGGTTACATCGATGCGAGACCCGTGTTGCAAGGCATTATGTAAGAAAGCCTAGGTTGGCTGCTACGGTCGACTTCATCTGTTAGAAAATCATTCATGAATATTTTTAACGGTGTTATCGTATTATCTAGTAGATATGATATTTTTAGACAATTTATACATAGATGTGAAAATAAGTTATGCATATCGGGTTATGCAGTGTAGATGATATTTTTTGTGTATAAATAATGTATCATTTATTTTAGTGGTACAAATACAGTTTCTTTTATTAAAAGTGCACCTAACTTTCAAAAACAATGATAATAAGTAGTGGTGATAAAAGACGAGTTTATATATGACCAGGACAAAGGGATTTTTACTTAAATCTAATAGACATTCTATCACATTTAGTAATCTATACCTTCTATTTTACGGCAAATATATTTGTTTTTTTATTTAGGGTAATCTACATTCCCTTACAGGGTATATGTATTAATGTATATACTAAGATATGATTTATTTTAGCATTCTTTTTCTTGAACAACAAATAAGATGCCCGTGCATATGTGCGGGTTTTCTTTCCGATTTATATTCTGAAAATATCCTCCATTTTATATTTTGTCCTTACATTGTTTGAAACATAGCCTATGATACATGCATGCGCGCGCGAATGCGCGGGCTACCTTCCTAGTTATATACTAAAAGTCCATTAAACTTCTTACAAACGCTCCCGAACCGCCAAGTGGCACCCTATAAATACTCTCAAGTCGCCAAGTGGAACCATAATAAATAAAAGAAATCTAACCATCTATTTTTACTTAAATTGGTGGACCCATTGTTTTGAATGGTTAGATCTATTTTGTAAAGAAAATAGAACATCCGGAACCAACATACGGAACCAATGTACGTATGTACTGTAAGTACTTCCCTTTTGTCCTTCCATATTTTCATTTATGTGTTATTTTCTATTTAATGAGAAAATAAAATCAAAATTTCTTTTACAGGTAAAAAAATCACAAATAGACCAATTATTATTAAATTAGAGAAATTACTAGAAAATCTTAAAAAATACAAAGCAACAGACCATCGATTTCTACTTAAATTGATGGATTTAGGTTGTTAGATATTTTTAATAAAAAAAATCCCAAACCTCTTTCCCTCCCTCCCCACCCCCATGCAGCGTTAAAATCCACTATATAACATAATTAAATTAAAGAAAATCTTAGAAATTTCAAAAAAAAAGACAATTATATCTAAATATTCATTAAACATCCTACAAATACTCTTAAGCCACCAAGTGGTACCTTACAAACACTCCTAAGTTGCCAAGTGGCATTCTAATCCAACCATCGATTTTTATTAAAATCGGTGGATCCATTATTTTTATATTAGGAGGTTAGATATTTTTTTATAAAAAAAGCACACATTCGGAATCTCCCGTCACGTATGTACCAACGAGGTATATTCATGAGAAATTAAAATCAAAATTATTTTTACATTAAAAAAACCACAAAGAGACCTCCACCTATTAGGTCTA